ATGACAAATAGTGTATTTAGAATACATTTATGAAAATTTCAGGCTGTGTTTGGTACAGCTTTCCAATTACAATTCTACCTCTTCACGTGAACAAAGTGTTTGGATGGGGTTTTCACAAATTAATTCCACCACACATTTCAAAATACATTTCTATTTCACGTTTGGCAGACCTCATTCCAAAACAAACTTCCAATGCAAAACTCTCACCTTTTCATACAATTTTTGAATTTTTTAAGTCTATGGGACATTCCCCCGGACATCCCTCCGGATGTCTGGCCGGTTGAGCACTACCATGGTTGTTTTTTTTTTTTTGTTGGTAACTCTTTCATACATTCATACATACATACATGTGTTTGCGCTATTGTAGACTAATTTTCTATTGAAAGCGAATAAAAAAATTTGAATAAAATTGAATTGTGTGTGGTAAACTGTGTAGATGTTAACCAAATAATATTCTAATTTTTGTTTGACTCTCACATAGATAATACCTGATAAATTTTTTGGCCATTTATTTGAAAATAACAATACAATAAATAGCAAATAATTTGTGACAGTAATTATTAAAAATATAAAAATATTTTAACTGAAAAATATTTTTAAAAAATTCAAACCAAATATACAATCAAAATTTATTTTAAATCAGTAATTGAATATTTATTTTGAAAAAAAAAATTATTGCCTTTGTAATATTTTCAATTAAAAAAATTGATTAATATTATTTTCGGTTAATAATTAATTTTTTTAATTGAATTTTAAAAAGAGTTTGCTTATTGATCAGAATTTTGGATAGGTGTGTTGATTAGTGTTTTTGGTTATGAGCTATAACAATTTGAATTAAGTTTTGAAAACTCTTTCCAAAACTCATAACCAAACAAATTTTCTTATTTCACGTGTCACATCAAACATTAAAAACTTAATTCAACACTCAACTCAAAACTCAATTCAAAACTCTTTTCAAAACTCATAACCAAATAAATTTTTTACACTCAAATCATAATTTCATAACTCACAAACTCAAAATACAACTCTATTCTCAAATCATATTTAAAAAACTCTATCAAACACTACCTCGAGTATTCAAATGGTACTAACTGTGGTCAAGGTATGACGCTAATTTTCATTAATGTGAAATATAATTATCAGTACTCAAATCTGAGACTAATTTTCAAATCAAAAAAATATATATGAGACACTCAAATTGTCTTGAAAGTGTATGCCAAAGTTTAAGTTTTGTATCCTTTTTTTTAATATATAATTTCAATAAGTAATCCATGTGCCCACAGTTTGGTTTTTGTAATTAATTAATTAATTAAAAGTGCTCATGGCCCTCTGATAAAAATAAAGAAGAAAATGGGTAGAGGGCTTATTTGAGACAATATCTCGACCAATATATTATTGAAATGGATATATCAATATCAATATTGTATGATTAAAATATATTTATTGGACTCATTACTCATAGCTGTCAACTGCTTAATATTAAATATAATATAAGATTATGCCCTGGATCAAGTATTTAATCCTCTTTTTATTTTAATTTACATTTTGTTAATTTATGGTTTAAGATACTGCAAGAAATTGCATTGGATTAAAGTATTCAATCCTCTTCATTTTTTATTTTTTTTTCTTTTTCTTTTTGTTTCATATTTTGTTAATTTGTAGTTGAAAATACTACTGGATAATTCCCCATTATTCCCCTTACGTGCAAATATTATCTTTTTAACACATCATGTTCTCTTTTCCTTTATTTATTTATAATTTTTTTGTTAGGGAGGGATAAATGGGAACCAACTAACACCTAACAAAATCGGGTTTGGTTTAAGATACTGCAAGAAATTGCATTGGATTAAAGTATTCAATCCTCTTCATTTTTTATTTTTTTTTCTTTTTCTTTTTGTTTCATATTTTGTTAATTTGTAGTTGAAAATACTACTGGATAATTCCCCATTATTCCCCTTTCGTGCAAATATTATCTTTAACACATCATGTTCTCTTTTCCTTTATTTATTTATAATTTTTTTGTTAGGGAGGGATAAATGGGAACCAACACACACCTAACAAAATCGGGTTATTTAGAACCCTTGGCATCATAAGAAAAATATAAGAATATATGCAAATTGATACATTGGAGTATAATGTGAGCCCAATATCTCTGTTGAAATCTTCAACAGGCATGTTTAATTTATATCGTCTCGAATTAATTTGTATATTTGAGTTTAAATTTGAGTCAACTAGAGGTCGTTTAAATTTTAACACTAGACCTGGAGTGATAATTATGTTTTTTGAAAAATTTGCTATTAATCTGTCATGATCATCATCAAGTACGTTCTTTCCATCAATTACATCTAGGTTATTCAATGGCATAAAATATTTTATTATATTTAACTCACACTTCTTATCCAAACAACTTAAATAATATTTTTTATCTAATTTTAAACAAAACTTAATTTTAAAAATAAATTGAAAAAAAAATTAAAATGTGGATGGTTAAAATGAAAAAAAAAATAACACAGGGACAAAGTGTAATTTACCAAACAGGAATAACAGGTGCCTTGTAAACAATAACTAATCTATGCTTTTTATCGTTTATAAGCGTAACACCAAATCTATTAATTCCGTTACCAAACACACGGGCCTACAGAGCAAGTGTTCAATTTCCTCCAATCAAAACTCGAGGTGTAACTCACGCTCATAAAACATTACTGGGATAAAACTCCGTGTCCGTGATATGCGCGAGGCATGCGTGTCTGAGAATTAAGGAACAAAAAGGCAAATTACACTTTGCCCTCTTTATCTTTCATTATTTTTTTACTTTGATATCTTAAGTTTTTTTTTTTTTTACTTTTTGATCCTTTATATTTTAATTTTTTTAATTTACTCTTAAAACTAATTTTTATTTAAAATTAGGTAAAAAAAATATCATATTAATTGTCACATAATATAAAAAAAAAATATGATTATATTAAAGTTAAAATTTGTGTTAAATGTAAGCCTTGTTTGGGAAAAAAGGTTTGAAAAAAAGATTAAAATAGTCAATAAAATAAAATATAATATCACATTTTACATATCAATTAATCACTTTTTTTCCTCAAAATCATTTATTCAACTACAAAAATTCACAAATCATCCCAAATATAACTTTTTTGCACCTTATAAAATAGTCAAAAAACCAACTAAAATAATTAAATTCCCAAATAAGCCCATAATAAAATATTTGTATACCATATAGCTATTAATGTGTAATTTTCTGTTTAATTTTTTAACACAAGTTAATTTTTGGGGAAAGCACCAATAAATCCTAAATTTAGAAATGTTAACCCATTTGGTCCCGAAGGTTTTTTGTTAGACTAATAGGTCCTATTTCTCAAAAAGCTTACTATAGGCCTTTTTATGATTTCCCTTCTTTTCAAACATCAAACATCAAACATTATTCATCAAACATCAGATTTATGAGTAACATCATCGAAACAACATCAAACATCATCATCAAAACAATATCAAACATCACAACATCATCATCAAAACAACATCAAAATAACGATTAAACAATTTTTTAAATAACGATTAAACATCAAAATAACGATTAAAATAATATCAAACATCAAAATAATGATTAAACAATTTTTTCTGATCAAACATCGTCACAACAATTTTTTTTAATCAAACATCATCATAACAATTTTTTTGATCAAACATCATCGTAACATCAAAAACATCTTTAAGCCAGTCAATTTGATCGAAATCAGAGACACAACAATATAACCGATTATCAAAATCAAAACATGTATCAATGTGATTACTGGTTTCTTCCAAATCGATACAATCCATGAAACCAATTCCATTAAGCTCGAGGTTTTGCCTCTGCAAATTAGGGCTGAGGAGTAGATTGTGATGGAGATTCCGAAAGAGAAACGAAGATGAAGGAAATTACGAAGGGGATTTCGATAGCGATGAGAGCTCTGGTGTCTTTGGGATCTAATGTGGAGGATGTTGGATAATGGCGGAACAGAAACCCTAGTGTACGGTCTCGGGATTAGGAGAAGGGTCGATGATGGACGACTACGAATCATTGATTTCGACTACCGATGCAGAGCTCTTGAAGCGGTGATGGCGGAACGAGAAAGCTGCTCCCTAGATTCTTTAGTTCGAGCTCTCTCTGGTTCAGAGATCCACAGAACAGATCCAATTGATGGTTATTTATTCATGATTTTGTTTTTCTGGTTTTTTACTTTAGATGTTATTGAGAATCGAATTCTATGGAGAGAACATAGTTGATCTGCACTGGAATACAATACTGAACACTTAGATCATAGGCAACAAGAGCAAAAGTTGAACTCGTTTTTCATGAATAATGTTTGATGATTTATTGATGTTCACAATGTTTGATGAATAATGTTGAATAATGTTTGATGAATGATGTTTGGAGAATAATGTTGAAGAATAATGTTTGATGAATGATGGTTTAAGAAAAAAGGATTAAATGGTTTAAGAAAAAACACTCAGGACTAAATGGAGTAACATTTACCAATATGGGACTTATAGGTAATTTTTTCTTAATTTTTAGAGTAAAATATTAAAAACTTAAAACATGAAGGATTAAAGTGAAAAATAATAAACTAAAAAGTCAAAATAGAAAAAAAATTCAAGGGCAAATTACATATACACCCCTCGAGGTTTGGCTAAATTACAGATACCCCCTGAGGTTTCAGAAATTACATCCCGCCCCCTGAGGTTTGTATTTTTATAACAATTTGCCCCCAGAGGTTTATATTTCATAACAAATTACCCCCTAATTTCTTATGCAAATATAGCATTCAGGGGGGAATTCGTAATTTCTCAAACCTCAGGGGGGCATCTGTAATTTAGCCAAACCTCGAGGGGTGTATATGTAATTTGCCCAAAAATCAAACGTAAGGGGGCAAAGTGTAATTTACCAAAGAGAATGGGGGCCCTGTCTCTGTCTCTGTCTCTCTCTCTCTGCGGCTCTCCATCTCTACCGGGTAGAGAGAGAAAGTTCTACCAGAGAGGTGAAGAAAGAAGAGAGAGAAAGAAGAGAGAGAGAGAGAGAGAATGGCCGATCCAACGGCCTGAGCTCTCCCTTGTTAACGTCTGGTTGGAGGTAAAAAGGACATTTTCTTTTCTCTTTCTCAAATTTTCTCGGGAAAAAGAAACAGAAAGAAAGAAAGAAAAAAAAAAACCAGGAAGGAAAAGGCCACCATTGTTTTTGAGCTTGCATCACCATCGTTTTTCTCACCCATCTCGAGCCTTCTCTCTCTAAAACAGAACAATGGTGGTGTTTGCAGGCTAAAAGGGATAACTTTTCTTCCCCATTTCGTCTCATACTTTGTTTCCCCATTTCGTCTCATACTTTGTTATCACATTCAGATCTCTCTGTAAGAGCACATATATATATATATAGAGAGAGAGAAGATTGAATCTTGACAATTCGGGGAAAAATGCAGCACAATATTTTGACAACGATGAGGAGTTTGAAAATGATGGAAGGATGTAAGGGCACGCAAGTCTTCGCCCTTGATCCATCCGGCACCGCCGCCGCCGGCGGTGGTGTTGGAAGTGTGGGAGAGAAGTTCTTGCACCACCTCCAAGAACATCTCAAAGTCAATTCGATTAGGGCAAAATCGACTCGGAATTTCCAATCCAACAATGTCCAAATCAACAACACCACTGTTTTAGCTGAAGCCCTTGCTGCCTATGGCCTTCCTCAATCCGATTTGCTCGAACCCCAAATCGAACCCTGTCTCAAATCGGTAAATTTTGTCGAAACCCTAGCCGATTTGTATCTGAGAATCGAGAATTGTCCCCAATTTGAGAAATCAGGGCTGTATCTCGAGCAATGTGCCACATTTAGGGGTCTATCTGATCCAAAATTGTTCCGTAGGAGCCTCCAGTCCGCGCGGCTACACGCGGTTAATGTCCATTCTAAGATTGTTCTTTCAGCTTGGCTGAGGTTTGAGAGAAGAGAGGATGAGCTAATTGGGACATCATCAATGGACTGTTGTGGACGGAATATCGAATGCCCTAAAGCTAGTTTGGTATCTGGGTATAGTCCAGAATCAGTCTATGATCCCTGTACATGCTTTCGGAGTCCTAGAGAGGATACTAAAGAGGATAGTGATGCTGAATTTTCAATGGGAGATGATGAATGTTCAACATCTGAGGAAGATGGTGATATATCATTTTGTATTGGTGATGATGAAGTTAGGTGTATTAGATATAACATTGCATTGCTTTCTAGACCATTCAAAGCAATGTTGTACAGTGGGTTTTTGGAATCGCGGAGGGAAAAGATTAATTTTTCACAAATTGGGATTTCTATAGAGGGGATGAGAGCTGCTGAGATATTTAGCAGGACAAGAAGTGTCGATTCTTTTAACCCAGATGTTGTTTTGGAGATTCTCTCTTTGGCAAACAAGTTTTGTTGTGATGATATGAAGTCTGCTTGTGATGCATATCTAGCATCTTTGGTTTATGACATGGAGAGAGCAATGTTGCTCATTGATTACGGATTGGATGAGACTGCACCTCTTCTGGTGGCTGCTTGCTTGCAAGTATTTATGAGAGAGTTACCAAGTTCAATTCACAATCCAAGTGTAATGAGATTCTTTTGTAGTTAAATACTAGGGACAGATTGGATCTTGCTGGGCATGCTTCATTTTTATTGTACTACTTTTTAAGCCAAATCGCTATGGAAGTTGATATGAAAGCGAACACGACAGTGATGCTATTGGAGAGGTTAGGAGAGTGTGCAAATGAACATTGGCAGAAACAAATTGCATTTCACCAATTGGGTTGTGTGATGCTTGAGAGGAAGGAGTATAAAGATGCCCAAAAGTGGTTTGAAGCAGCAGTTGAGGCTGGCCATGTTTATTCATTAGTGGGTGTTGCAAGGACCAAGTACAAGCGTGGTCACATGTATTCTGCTTACAAGATGATGAACTCGCTTATTTCTGATTATTCACCAGCTGGGTGGATGTATCAGGAGCGATCTCTTTATTGTAATGGGGAAGAGAAGATGATGGACTTAGATACAGCAACGGAATTGGACCCTACTCTTTCTTATCGGTACAAGTACAGAGCTGTCATGATGATGGAAGAAAATAAGATTGCGGAAGCCATCTCAGAGATCAACAGAATAATAGGTTTCAAGGTCTCTCCTGACTGCCTTGAACTACGTGCTTGGTTTTCAATTTCCATGGAGGATTATGAAGGAGCTCTAAGAGATGTGCGGGCCATTTTGACTTTGGACCCCAATTACATGATGTTCCATGGGAAGTTGCATGGTGATCACTTGGTAGAGCTCCTCCGTCACCATGTTCAGCAGTGGAGTCAGGCTGATTGCTGGATGCAGCTGTATGATCGATGGTCCTGTGTTGATGATATTGGCTCTCTAGCTGTTGTACACCACATGTTAGCAAATGATCCTGGGAAGAGCCTCTTACGGTTCCGTCAGTCTCTCCTCCTGTTACGGTAATTCTTCTAGCTAAATACATAATCTAACCTAGCACAACTGAAACACATTGATGTCATTGCTAAATACATAATCTAACAAGCAATACAAATTTAATATGTTTACTTTTAAGTTTGCACCAACACCAAACTATAGGTTTCTTTTAAGGGGAAACTACACATCAGTGTACTTTTTGAAAACAAATTTCAAATTAATGGAAAAGTATACAAATATTAATAATTAAAAATATGAACTTTTTTTATTAATGGGTAATTAAGTTCCACTGACATCACTGCAGTGCAATTGTCCCTTCGTTTTAAAGGACAAACAATTGACAAGGTTAATACACTTGCATGTTCATACATAACCTGACCTAGCACAACTGAAACACATTGATGTCATTGCTAAATACATTATCTAACAAGCAATACAAATTTAATATGTTTACTTTTAAGTTTGCAACACCACCAAACTATAGGTTTCGTTTAAAGTGGAAATCAATTGTCAAGGTTGATACACTTGCATGTTCATACAGGAAGTTGTTCCGAAAATCTTACTCCCATCTACTTTACCCCCAAATGGAAATATAAACCAACATGGGAGTTTTTAATCACCTCTCTTTGGTATTGAGCAAAAACAATTGTTGGACACATTTCCTCTTCAGATTGTGGTCATGATAATTTTGTATTCTCTGTCAGGCTAAAATTTTGAAGAACATTAGCTTCCAATTATCTGCAGTGCTAAAATTGTGTGCGTGTGTGTGCGTGTGTGTTTTCAGTCCTAGGATACAGAAGAATGGAATTTTTCATGGTCTTCATTAGGAGTCTATTTCTTTGTGTTCCAACAGAAAACTTGATATTTATGATTGTTACAGGTTAAACTGTCAAAAGGCTGCAATGCATAGTCTGCGGTTGGCTCGAAATCATTCTACCTCTGAGCATGAAAGGCTCGTCTATGAAGGATGGATTTTATATGACACAGGCCATCGTGAAGAAGCATTAGCCAAAGCTGAAGAGTCCATTTCTATCCAGAGATCATTTGAAGCTTTTTTCCTTAAAGCATATGCTTTAGCCGATTCAAATCTTGATAATGAGTCTTCATTGTACGTTATCGAACTTCTGGAAGAAGCTCTTAGATGCCCTTCAGATGGCCTTCGAAAAGGACAAGTTAGTATTTTCTCACGTGTGATCCAGACATTTTTTATCATTTGAATTGGAGTGATATTTAAGTCTCTTTTCTCTGCAGGCATTAAATAATTTAGGGAGTGTATATGTGGACTGTGACAAGCTGGATCTTGCTGCTGACTGCTATATGAATGCCCTTAATATCAAGCATACAAGAGCACATCAAGGGCTGGCACGTGTATATCATCTAAAAAATCAACGCAAAGCTGCATACGATGAGATGACCAAGTTGATAGAGAAGGCCCAGAACAATGCATCAGCTTATGAGAAACGTTCAGAGTACTGTGACCGTGACATGGCAAAGAGTGATCTTAGTATGGCAACACAACTAGATCCCTTGAGGACATACCCATATAGGTACAGGGCAGCAGGTAAATTACATGATCATTCAGCTATAATTTCTTTTCTGCAATTTATTTATGATTCAAAGTGCTATTAATATTTTTTATTTTGTTTTTGGTAGTTTTGTAGTTTATTTGTACTGTGATGCATTTGTTCTTGACATACTAAAATGCACTCATTTCTCCTTAACTCCACACCTAAGGCCGGGCTTGGCCTGGTGGATGAGGTGCTTTTCCCTTATTATGTGTGATGCCTGAGCTTGAGTTTTATCGTTGCACATCCTCTTCTCCTATTCCCCTCATATCGATTGTAGATAAAAATATAATTAAAAAATAAAAATAAAACTCAACACCTAACTCCACACCATAAGTCTGAATCTTTGTTAGTTTTTTGTTTTGTTTTTTTTTCCTTTTCTTTTGTGAGATGATTGAACTTAAGTTACATGTAGTTTGATCTGAAAGGTAACATTTCTCGTGTAGCATTAGATTGGAAAATAATTGTTAGGATAATTGCAAGAATAATTTCTAATACATTGAATACTTAGAGAAGAAAATTAGAGAAATAGTCAGATTAAAACATTTCAAATTTGGTGCAGGTTTATGTCTATATAACGTAATATTAATCTATGTGAATATGTTAAAAAAATTAATTGAAAACATTTGATGGATTATTCATGATACATAGTTTGTTACATGTATGTTATGATTTAATTACTTTTTCATTTATATACATAATATTTATATCAAACATATATGTCTATATCGTGTCATACTCATATCCTGCATCCTGTGTCTGTTTCTTTGCGCCCCTTTGTGTTACCTGGGATATAATATTCGGATTATGTCTTTCAGTTCTAATGGATGACCATAAAGAAGCTGAAGCCATAGCAGAGCTCTCAAAGGCCATAACTTTCAAGACAGATCTACAGCTGTTCCATCTTCGGGCAGCATTCCATGACTCTATAGGTGACTATGCTTCCACAATCCAAGATTGTGAGGCAGCGCTCTGTCTCGATCTGAACCATTCAGATACACTCGAGCTTTATCATAGAGCACGGGAGAGGGCTAATGAACAACTGCAGAAGTAGGGAGATAGTGCATATCTGTGTAGCTCTTCCACAAATCCTCATTTGGACAACTCGAAAGTTGCCGCCCAATTGTTTTGTAGTGGAGACAAGGCCAGTGATAGTCAGCATGATTTATTTTCTGGATTTCGTCTATGTTAAGACTCAGATCAAGATTGTTCATAGCTTCTGAGAAAGGAGAAACTAGGGAAAAGAGAATCGATGTTAAAGAAAAAACAAGAAAGACACAGCAATCTTGCTTATATATACATTTCACTAAGTGGTTGCAGAATTGAGTCATTTGATGAAATTTACTAGGCAAAATGCTCCTGATTCGTGTAGCTGTTAGATTACTCCATTACAGATAGGGATGGTGCTATAAAGTAGTAAAATGAAACATCTAAATGTAGTTGGCAGCTTGTGATGAAAGAGTCTGTTGACTGAGAGGTTTACCTTGTACTGCGACTTTTTAAATGTTTGTTTACTTTGTATTTGTAACATGTACAATTTTCCCTCATAAAAGATAGAAACAATTTTTCCTCTCTCTCTCTCTTCTTGGACAAACAAAATCGGATTAATTTCTGCATTTTGAATGTCTGCTTCAAACTTGTATAGGTCTTTGTTCATTTCCCTTGTTTTCAGGGCAGGTGGATGAATTTTCTCTCTCATGATGTTTTTGCAAAGGTATGTTTCCCCTTGATCATGTCCATGTGCCCTAAGAGAACAAAAGGTTCTTCTCTACCCCTCACCTGTGATCTTTTAAGGTGAACCATTAATTGGTTGCACAAGATACCCATAGTTCCAACTGCTTCTGTGATTAAAGTCCTTACCTACCTTGATAAAAAGACCCAACTTTAAGCATTCAGCTTTCTTTCTTCCTTTTCGTGGTTCAGATATAGAAGCATGGAGGAGCAAGAAGAGAAAGCTATGGATACAAAAGGCCTTAGGAAGCTGGACTACAATGCTCCACTTTTGTCAACACGGCGTCCCAGTGGTGCCACCAATTTACAATTGTCACGCACAAACTCACAAGGAGCATGGCGGGATACAAGCAACAGGGTACCATTTTCTTGGGAGCAAACCGCTGGCAAACCTAAGGACTCGGAAGCAAATGACAATCATGCCATGGGTGTGGTGCCGCCTCCAAAACTCCCACCGGGTAGATGGCATCCACCAAAAGCAAACCAGTGTCATGGTGATGATGATGATGGCTGTGATGGTGATATCGAGGATGAGGATGATGAGGATGATGAGGATGATGTTTTCTCGGATGCTATTGACTTGTTCTCATTATCCGAGTCAATAGACATGCCCGAGGCTTTCAACAATGTGAATGGGTTAGCTAGTTTAAACTCCGAGATTAAGGAGTGTAACAGCGCTCTATCTCCAAGTTTCATCATTCAGCGATTTCTTACAGATGCTAATGCATTGGCTGAATCATCATCTGCTTTAGCTCATTCAGAGATTTTGAACAAGAAGCTTCCTGATGGATATGTTTCACCAGCAGTTAGACAATCATACTCTGCACCACAGGGCTGTGGCTTTGACGTCTTCTTCCCTTGGCTCATGAAGCACAAACCATGTGGCATAAAGAGCCCAGTCCGGCAACCATCTCTAAATGTGAAACCTCAATGGGGTTCAAAAAGAAAGCAGAAACATTAATTCGCTGCAAGTCCTTGTCACCATGGAGGAAAACTTGGTTTTATATATATAGTTTTTTTTCGTTCGGGTGGAGGGTAATAGGGAAAGGGAAGCTGCATCGCACAATAGTGAGACACAAATCTTCTGGAATGTGATCAGAGTTGTTACTGAAATTAGAGCCACTTGATTCACAGTTTGGGTTCAGTGGTATGAAGTCTATTGCTGATGCAGTGGAGAGCAATAGACTGGCTATTTGTCATTGAATGTGAATTAAGGTAGTAGCAGTGCAAATATGTTTGTTTGGAATATGGTCAAAGTACAGTGTGATGCAGAGTTTGTTCTGCGGATGTTATTTAATGTATGTTTTGTGTAAGTAATGAATTAAAATTCCATTGCACCTTAAAATGTAGTTTGTACAAATTGGTGATTATTGTAGAATATTTGCAAAATCAATGAATAAAAAACAAATGAATTATATCGTACATATCTACATATATCTTCATATTTATGTCTCCTTTGTTCTACCTGAAAAAAATAGCTAATTTCTCCAAAAAGAAACTCTCACTAATGGAACTCCTCTCCATTCCAAGATCATCTCATTGTTGTTGTCACCTTCAACCACCACTCCATAGAGACTTACCCCTTCTCTCACCATTTCCTTGGCTTCCATCAAGCTTTCTTTGCTCACTCTCCAACCCACCAATCCATTATAACTTTTCTGAAAATCACACAACTCTTCCCTCTCGTGCCATCTCTGAATCCATGAAAGAGAAGACACAAATGGTGCCACAAAAAGGCATTCCAAGGCAATTCTCGCATCTCCAAATTGAATTGGGAAAGTACTCTCCATTGATTCTAACAGAGCTTGGTAATGTACCACATACCCATCCAAAAATGAACCAAAGCTAGAGGCTTTTTTCAAAATCTCCCAACCATCTGCATCACCAAAAGTCATAATACCCTTGGTACTACTATTACAATTTGGAGTTTGGATTGACAACACTTCCTTGGCCACCTTTAGAAACTCCATTACTTGCCTCCTACTTCTCACCCTCCCCATATGTGGAAGCCCTACCATGCAATTAAAGGCCCACCATTCTCTCCTCCCACCCCTCTTCTTCATGTTCTTCATCTCACTTTCCAAATTATGCAATTCCATCTCCTCCACCTTCAAAGTAAGCCCAAAATAGGAGGCGTGATCAAGGAGCCGCCTTTTTGTCTCATCAAACCTCCATCCCGACGTATGATCATGATTTGAATCCCCCTTGGTCCATTTTATAGATGTTAGCCTGATCTCCCTCTGCTGACATCCAATGGCCTCGATCACTGAAGACCATTGGGTCCCCTCCCCAATGTCAAAATCAACGATGTGTATGATCTCCACATCAGGAGGAATGGCCTCAAGGATTGCCAAGTTAGCTGCAAAATGTGCAAACTTCCCATATGGGAATATTTGGTAGAATGCCTTGAAAGCTGCATGGAAGTTCTTGGAAGATTCTTGTTTGAGGTAGTCTGATTGCTTATCAGAAGGTTGGAACAAGTAATACAAAAGACGCTCCACGATTTCACCCACTGGGCTAACTTTCTCACCAATGCTTTTCATGATTACTTCTACGAGCTCTATCTGATCCTTCTCCATCGCTTCTCCATAAGCTTGAACCAGATGAACTAAACCGAGGGAATTATCAATCTCCATGTCATCAGTAGGCAAGATCAATGATAGTTGGCTCAACGCCACGTCCATTGATGTGACACTTGAATTTGAGGATTGGCTAAGGCTCCATTGATCTTCTCCACCAAATGGTAGTTGAAAAGGAGTTTCTTCACTCTCCAAAGATGTAGCCATTTCTCCAATCTCACCACTCGAAAACGTGTTCTCAAATTCCTCAAAATCTGATGAGAAATCATCCTTTGGTAACATGAAATCCAGTTCATCAACATGAACTGGAAAATCAATGAACTCATCAGAGAATATGGAGAAATCAGAGTGACCCATATGAGCATCCATGTTATCAAGTATATAAGCTTTATCTTCATCAAAAGATGAATTTAAGTTGGTGAAAGATGGCCATGAAAGTTGAAGCAGCTCAGATTGCATCATTGTTAACAAGGTTTCACAAACTTTGGGTTAAATCTTCATGATAAGGCTCATATATTATATGAGTATTTATATGAATTTTTAAGACAAAGATAACTTTGATGCTACCACAATTACCAACTGAAATCATCTTCCTACCTGGCAGTTTCTCAAGGATAGGAAGTTTTATTTTCCTACCTTTTTTCATTTTATTTTATTTAATCAAGAAGGATGTAGGACAAAAGTGTTCCTTGGTACTGGGTTTTTCTTTTCCTGCCTTTTTTAAATATTAGGCATACTTTAAGAATTAAAATTGTAATTTTTTCAATTGAGTTTTCACTTTCTTTTTTTTGTTATTGTTGTTGTTGATGATAAATGTGTGTTTGGATTAGTTTGCATACATCTCGACTAATTCCAAACTCCTGAAATTAATAATCAGGCAAACTTTCAATGGCTCCTTAAAGTGACTCGAACTCGAAACCTTTTATCTATCCTCAAATTTTGACTACTTGATCAAACACATGAGATTTTGACATTTATACTTGATTTTTAACTACATCTACGAATGGAATTAAGTTGGAGAATCAAATTGAAACATACTTTTTATTTACAGGGTAGTAAATTAATACAATTTAAGCATTATGGACCAAAATAACACAAATCGCTTATTTGGATATTAAAAAGATAATTAACCCATATAGATATTTATAATAAATAAATAATAAAAAAAAAAAGGGAAGGCGCACACACACAACTAAAAAGATTTGTATACTCACAGGACTCCTCCATGATTTTGTTGAAAAAATAGCCTGAGATATAGATATAGTTACTATATAGATATAATTAGAAGAAGAAGAAGAAAAAAAAAAAAAAACTAAAAGGATTACCATATTTTACTCATTCACATTGAGTCCCCTGTTTTGACTAGTCCATGTACTCATTAAGACCGTGTTTGGGCTTTCCCATACAAACATGCTCAACTATGTTGCATTTTACAAAGCAATTCAAATTACTATACTTTGTTTTCCTTTTCTTGAAGTTTTGTTTTATGACATTTAGGCAACTTTCAGACACGACAATTTTAAAATATGGTGGAAATGTGACCCAAAAAAAAATATAAACTTGACATTCATAAATAACCAAAGTTAATGAAAATCTTAAGGCCTTGTTTAGGAATAGATTATTTTAGGAATTATTTAGTTTTTTGACTAAAATATGAAAGAAATAAACTAACATGTTTGAAATGACTTTTTAATTTTTTACGAAAAAATATGTAAAAAGTATAAAGAAAAATAATCTTTAATTTTTTAACTAAAACAGACAATTCTCAAACGAGACCTAAATATTATCATAAGACCCTTGAAATTAATTTTAAAATTTTAAAATATTAAAATAAGACCTATCATGTCCGAAAGCATTTGCCATCGTGTTTCAATTAGATTGGTGCATTCATGATAATAATGAATCTTCCGCCGGCTTGACTGCAAGTTGACCACTCTAATTGGTTTAACTTGGTAGTAAGCGGTTCTTAATTACATCCAAATTCATTGATAATGAATGAAACTAAAAAATCCAAGTGATTCGTAATTTGTTATAGATTAATTGTAACAAATCTCTAAACGTACAAAATTAATAATCTAAATCAATTAATACATACGTAAGTGTTGGCTACATATTTTGTAAAAGCCAGTTACAGTTCGACACGTGGCATAGTAAGGGTAATAAAGGAAGGTTATTCAAGCCTTTAATCCTGATCGTACACGTGACAATAAACATTGGTCCTCACATGATCCGAGTAACACTAGATCAAATAACGGGATGCAAGATGACGTGTCTTCAAACGGTTACTCATATTCAAATCTAAGTACAAGAGGGAAGCTCAACTGCCAGTAATGACATAATGGAGCTACTTGTAAGGAAGCATGACCAGCGATTATGGAGGAGCAGTTCGACAGTTCGAAGTGCAGTTCGAAGGTCATCACTGACGAGTATAAATAGCAGGGTAGCCCCCAGAAAGAGGGACGGACTCAGACCATACAAACCAGTCATTTACTTCATATATTTTCTTTCCAGTCATTTACATTTCCAGTCCTTAAATACCTGTTCTTTAAATACCTGCACTTTAAATACTCGCACTGCACTTCGATTCATAGGAGTAGCTTCAAGTAGATTCAAGTAGATTGCTGTTGTAAACCTCTCCGAGGCTGAGTTCGGACCATTGTAAGTGTTCATTTTTATGAAATACTTCAATTGTTCTTCATATTACTGTTATTTCTCTTAACGTCTCCTAAGTCAAGCCACCAGTAAAAGTCCTCTTCATTGAGGCTGAAAAGAACTAAAACACAATCGTCTGATAATTGGTTGGCAATCACAATTTCTGTAAGGACTGATTGATCCTTGCTGGCACGCTCACATTCACAAAAATACCCTTCGAAAAGCCAAAAAGCCAACATATATATATGTTGGCTTATTTTTCCTACGAAGGAAACTCAACTATGTTGCATTTTACAAAGCAATTCAAATTACTATACTTTGTTTTCCTTTTCTTGAAGTTTTGTTTTATGACATTTAAGCAACTTTCAGACACGACAATTTTAAAATATGGTGGAAATGTGACCCAAAAAAATATAAACTTGACATTCATAAATAACCAAAGTTAATGAAAATCTTAAGGCCTTGTTTAGGAATAGATTATTTTAGTAATTTTTTAGTTTTTTGACTAAAATATGAAAGAAATAAACTAACATGTTTGAAATGACTTTTTAATTTTTTATGAAAAAATATATAAAAAATATAAAGAAAAATAATTTTTAACTTTTTAACTAAAACAGACCATTCTCAAACGAGACCTAAATATTATCATAAGACCCTTGAAATTAATTTTAAAATTTTAAAATAAGACCTATCGTGTCCGAAAGCATCTGCCATCGTGTTTCAATTAGATTGGTGCATTCATGATAATAATGAATCTTCCGCCGGCTTGACTGCAAGTTGACTACTCTAATTGGTTTAACTTGGTAGTAAGCGGTTCTTAATTACATCCAAATTCATTGATAATGAATGAAACTAAAAAATCCAAGTGATTCGTAATTTGTTATAGATTAATTGTAACAAATCTCTAAACGTACAAAATTAATAATCTAAATCAATTAATACATACGTAAGTGATTTGGTTTGTAGTTTTATAATTGATAAATTGGCACCAGAGATTTAATGTAGAAAAATCACAATTAGAGCACCTCTAATTGTGATAAAAAATCATGAGCTAAAAGTCACTAAACAATCCACTGTAAAAATAATAAAATTACACAAGAGTATAAACAATGACATAACTTACTCTAGGAATGTTTTTCACCTCTCGTGCCTCTTTTATCCACACATTTGTCTCAGAATTGAATAGCCCGACGTTGAATTCACAACACCCACATTGAATCCACATCAGTGAACAGTTTTGAACTCCTTCAAAGCGTTCAAGCTCAAATCTTCGGAATCCACCGATGAGTAATTCTATGAAGTGTGTATGATAGCAAGCTCCTTAATGTAAACAAATTAATCTATGTGACAGAACAATATCACCAAGGCATCAAGGAAAACAATCGAAATTCTCTCTTGCAGATTGCTCAAATTTTCTTGAGGCTACAAACTCGAAAGTGGGAGAGCCAACCCTAAAAGACAGCAAAAGAGACCTTTTATAGCAGTCTGGGTCGCACAGATCGCTCGAGCGAAGTAATGGTCACTCGAGTAGTAAGCCTAGTAAATGCGGGCATATGAAACTTCACTCGAGCCACCGAAAGTGCGCTCGAGCGAAAAATGTGAGCTCTCAATAGTTTTGTAGAGGGCCTAAAGGATTGAGAACAAAAATTCTTCGCTTGAGCGATAGAGGGCCTAAAGGACTGAGAACAAGAATTTTTCGCTCGAGCGACCAGTTGGTCGCTCAAGTGGCAAAGAGCAAATAGAATACTGAATTACAACAAAAAGATGATTGTTTACGGAATTTGACAACACAAGAGACCTAACAAAAACAAGTAATAAGTCCATTCCATAAGGATTTGTTGATAATGAGAGATCATCACAAAATCAATCAATTAAAGACTAAGCCAAAAGTACAGTCATGAGGTTGTTAGAAATTCATAACACTTAACCAAGAAAAATAAAACCCAAATGAGAAAGAAATAAAAACATAGTGATTATAAATTATACATACACACGATAAATATAAAATTTAATAGTTCACCCTAAAACTAAGTCTACATTCACGGTTATTGTAGTTCAGGGCAATAAGTCTCAGCACAAAAAATCAAAAATACTCTTGCTCAAACTTTGGGTAGAGGGGTTAGGGGCAATCACAATATTTATCAGAATACACACTATCCTAAATAAAGGCAATCACAAAATAGTTTTCAATAATTTTTGAAATTCTTCCAACCGTAAGACATCATATCCATGAGTTTAGAATTGTCTAAATTCTTTGAAGGGGAAATTGATCTTCACAGAGTAATTGTGAGATTTTATGCATAAACTTGTCTAACCCAAAAATTTTAATTTTTTGTTTGTCGTCCTGAGTGAAAAAGATTTGATCCTCCTTGTCTTACCTGTACATTTCTAGGAATGTTTAATTTTGTTTGGATTCATTTGACTATGTCATTGTTTTTTTCTTAGTTTAAGGATATATGTGGGGCATAAGAACCTCCAATTGATATTTTATCCAAATCAACCTATAAATTTGTGAGGAAATTAAAGTTTAATAGCATGATTGAATTTCCTCCAAACAGTGTTCTATATAAGATCTGTGATGATTGTAGATCTGCTAGCTCTTCATTAAAAAACAAAATCAAGGAAATGAAAATATTTACTATACATATTAGTTCTCCTACAAATACAAAATATATAAATGGATAAAATTTTACAAGATTTGTTAATGAGATCTATTTTTTTAGGAAATCTTATCCGTTCATATACATTTTGTGTTGAGAAAAAACTATGCACGACTATGTAGGAAATGATAATCATTAATGGTGTGTTGA